TTTATGTTATTTTTCCCTTTAAAAAAAAAAATTGCTGCCATTTTTTGGGGCTGATTATCGTTTATCGTTTTCTTGTGTGTTTAAAAAGGTACTGCTGCTTTTACTGTGTCGAAGAACTGCTAAAGCTCCTACTTTACTCGAAAGGTTAACATACAAGGTAATGGAAAAACAGATCTTTCTTATTTGGTGTTGGTCTATTATCTTTATATAGCATATTTTTTATGAAGAATAACACTTGATGTGAACTCATACATAGTTGCATCTGTAAACTTTATTTTAGTAGTCTCTATATTATGAATTTGGAGAATTTGTTTATTTAGTTTGCCAAAAAAAGGTGTGGTATATTTTTTGTTGGTCTGTACACCTCTTAAGATTTAAAGGTTTTTGTGTAGACTCATGCGCAGTTGTAGTTGTTAGCTTTTCTCCTCTTTTCATGTATGTTATGTGTTTAGTGAGATAATTGGCTATCTCTTATATTACATACATTTGTTGTGGTTGTTTGTTAGTTAATTGGCTATCTCTTATATTAATATATATGTATCTGTTTCAAATTTCTATACATCCTATTTATTATGTGTTGATTTTGTTGATCTTTCAATTATTTGTCTATAAATAAAAATATGTGGTGGTTTCATTTGTGTTTTGCTATGACAATTAATAAAGCACAAAGACAAACATTAGATTCAGTCGGTGTTTATCTAAAAGAACCAGTCTTTTCACATGGTCAACTTTACGTAGCCTTGTCACGTGCAAAACTCTCATCAGCAGTTAAATTTGTTATTAGGCCACCTTTTTTTTACCCCCAAAAAAATTATGCTACAAAAAACATAGTGTACAATGAAGTTCTAGAAGCAACTACAGAACCACAATGTAATAAAAATTTACATAATTATTTTTAAACAAAATACTTGTTGAATTTACCCAAGCCTATATTACATGAGATCTAGCTATTCTTTTTAGTCTAATTTCTATACTGTCAATGAATGCGGGCGATCATGCCAAGGACGTACCTGCTCATTAGCCAAATCACCGATGAGACACGAAACTGGACTGCGCTTATTCAAGTCGTTGAGAGAGCGCCTATTCAAACAAGCAAACATGATCCGCATGTACTTTATCGCAGATATTTATTCACCGATGGAGAGGTTTGTAAATAATTGATATTTTTGTGCATTAGTTTATTCTATTACCGATTTAAAAGTTTTCATGTTGTTAATTCATTATGCTTGAATAACAGGGTACCAAAACCAAAGTAGTTGTTGTAGTTTACAGAGCAGCAATGGGTGAGTTTGATGGGTTGCTGCTTCCATACAAGCGATACTACCTTACTGGAGCAAAAGTACGCCCAGAAACCCCATTGTACTAGGTTGGTCCCTACGAGTTCAACTGGCTTCTGCATAAAAAGACTTTGGTTGAAGAGTTCCAGGAAGATATGCCTCCTCAACTCCCATGCCAAATCGAAGTTCATAC